AAGCTGGGGTGACCCTGCCACTAGGTCCAGCCAACTCTGAAAGTTTGTATTTAGTCCCAATATAGTTCCATAGTTAGAAGTTGTAAAGGACTCTGTAAGTCTATGAGTAGGACTCCTTAGGGAGTCAGATGGCTGTGTGTCCTTGTGCCGGGCAGCACAGACGATCCGCCAAACTCCAGATCATCAATGGTCCAGAATTGGGAGTCCCAGAGACGAGGGCTAGGTGACTACTCCATGATGAGATGTATGAGTGAAGTAAATATCTAAGCAGGAAGATGGTGCCAAAGCATGAAGAACCCAAACAGGGCTCCTGCGGCAGGGAAGTCCAGCAGAAATGCTGCTGTTTCTTTTTAGGACACACTTCACTGCTGGACAAACATTTCCTTTTCTCCTCCTCAGAATTAGTGCAGTCATCAGTGCTGAGGCTGGACCCCATGAAGGAAGGCCTGAGGCAGAGCCAGGAGTGTTCTGCTGTACAAGCTGAGCCAAGCATTTTGGTGTTTTAAGGGGCCTACCAGAAGCTAGTGCCAGCTTAGAGAATCATTGGAGCTGCCTTTGTGGCAGAAGTCAGTGCCAAAGGCCCTGTTTTGTGTTGAATCTTGATTGTACCACGTGGAGCAGACTCCAAGGTAACTGACCCAGCACTCAAGTCCCTAGTGAAAGCTGGTGCTGAAGCTGTGGCCAGAGTAAACAACTCTGCCTATACAGCTGGTGTGGGCAGCGATGCAGATACAGGTCAGTCTGGGCGGTGCACAAAAACACAGCCTTTTGGTAACTCAAGAGCCTTTAGGGCCACTTCCATAAGGTGCAGCTGGGGCTGCAGTTAGCAGTCCTGGAAAGCCTACGGTGTGAATGCCTTGCAGGCAGCATACTGGGTCAAAGAGGGGGAAATCCCCCAAACAGATCAAAAACCTCACTTCGGCATCTGATTCTGGAATCATCATCCACATGGGCACAGCTTTTCAACCCCTTGCAAGTTTCAATCGGAGCACAGCTTCAGCACTGGAGGGAATTTTGAGAACTCAACTAATCTTAGGGATATACCTCAACTACAGAACAGGGCACTAAGCTTACCACCCTGACAGTAGTCAAAACACACAGCAGAAGGAACTGAGACAGCTGAGAAGTGCACTCCCTTCTATAACCTGGGTGCTGAATGTTTGAAAACCTCAGAACATGTACACACCACTGCTTTGAAGAGGGCTCTGTGAGCTCGTCAGCAGAAGGAGCTATCCCACAAGTGGGGATGCATAGAAGTTCTTGAAGACAGGAACTGCCACCAGTGGATTATCTAATCCAATATCCTGATTCAGACAGAGAACACCACTAGATGCTTCAGAGAAAGGTGCAAGAATCCTTGCAGTGGTTAATTACTTAACATGTCCATACAGTAAGATTCCACATGACCCCAGAGGCTGCCTTGTTCATTTAAATCCTCTATTTGTATTTTTACCTTATCTGTGCATTGTTCCAATTATCCATAAAATTTTCTAATCCTTTCTTAAATCCTGTTAAGCTTTTGGCCTCAGTGTTATCCAGTGGCAATGAATTCTACACGTTAATTAGGTTTCACATAAAGTATTTGCTTTTATCAGTTTTAAATGTGTTATCTTTCAATCTCAATGAAGGTCCACTTTGTTCTTGTTTTATGGGAATGCTTATAAACATTCTATTTATGCCATTTATTATTTTATATACCTCTATCAGGTCTCCTCCTATTAACCTTCTCTCTAAACTAAACAGTGTGTCATTTCAATTGTCACTCATAAAGAATGTTTCCAGGCCACTAACAATTTTATTGCCTATCTCTGAATCCCTTCTGTTTCTGCTATATCCTTTTTGAGATAGGGTGAACAGAACTGAACCCAGTATTCCAGATAAAGGTATGTCACTGATTCATAATGATCTAATATCTTTCCTTCCATTTCTGTATAAATCTCAACTTACATTTGCTTTTTTGATGGACACTGCACAGTGAGCAGGTTTTCAGTGATGAATCTACAATAATGTTTCGGTCTTTTTCATTTAAAAATACAGCAAACTGTACGAGTAGTTCAAATTATGGCCTCCAATGCACATTCTTTTGTATTTGTCAGCAGTGCCTTTTATCTGACATTACGTTGCCCATTCTTTTAGCTTTATTTGATCTTTCTGAAGCTTCTTGGTCTTTTCCAGTCTTCATCAACCTAAGTAATTTTGTGCCATCTGCAATTTTTGCCACCTGATTGTCCACTCACATTTCCAGATCACAGATAAACCTGCCCGGCCATACATAGGGTACATAAAAGGGTCAAATTGTTCCTGAATTTCTGCAAACACAGGATATTTTCTCATTTCTGCTCGGGATCATAAGGTCATAAGAACAAAAACATAAGAATGGCTGTACTGGGTCAAACCAAAGGTCCACCCAGCCCACTATCTTGTCTACTGACAGTGGCCAATGCCAGGTGTCCCAGAGGGAGTGAACCTAACAGGTAATGATCAAGTGATCTCTCTCCTGCCATCCATCTCCACCCTCTGACAAACCGAGACTAGGGACACCATTCCTTACCCATCCTAGCTAATAGTCATTAACGGACTTAACCTCCATGAATTTATCTAGTTCTCTTTTAAACCCTGTTATAGTCCTAGACTTCACAACCTCCTCAGGCAAGGAGTTCCACAAGTTGACTGTGTGAAGAAGAACTTCCTTTTATTTGTTTTAAACCTGCTGCCTATTAATTTCATTTGGTGGCCCCTAGTTCTTATATTATGGGAACAGGTAAATAACTTTTCCTTATTCACTTTCTTCACATCACTCATGATTTTATATACCTCTATCATATCCCCCCTTAGTCTCCTCTTTTCCAAGCTGAAAAGTCCTAGCCTCTTTAATCTCTCTTCATATGGGACCCTTTCCAAACCCCTAATCATTTTAGTTGCCCTTCTCTGAACCTTTTCTAGTGCCAGTATATCTTTTTTGAGATGAGGAGACCACATCTGTACGCAGTATTCAAGATGTGGGCATACCATCGATTTATATAAGGGCAAGAATATAGTCTCCGTCTTATTCTCTATCCCCTTTTTAATGATTCCTAACATCCTGTTTGCTTTTTTGACTGCCACTGCACACTGCGTGGACATCTTCAGAGAGCTATCCACGATGACTCCAAGATCTTTTTCCTGATTAGTTGTAGCTAAATTAGCCCCCGTCATATTGTATGTATAGTTGGGATTATTTTTTCCAATGTGCATTACTTTACATTTATCCACATTAAATTTCATTCCAAATCACTTAGTTTTGTAAGATCTTTTTGAAGTTCTTCAGTCTTCTTTGGTCTTAGCAGTTTAGTATCATCTGCAAACTTTGCCACCTCACTTTTTACCCCTTTCTCCAGATCATTTATGAATAAATTGAATAGGATTGGTCCTAGGACTGACCCTTAGGGAACACCACTAGTTACCCCTCTCCATTCTGAAAATTTACCATTTATTCCTACCCTTTGTTCCCTGTCTTTTAACCAGTTCTCAATCCATGAAAGGATCTTCCCTCTTATCCCATGACAACTTTATTTATGTAAGAGCCTTTGGTGAGGGACCTTGTCAAAGGCTTTCTGGAAATCTAAGTACACTACTTCCATTGGATCCCCCTTGTCCACGTTTGTTGACCCCTTCAAAGAACTCTAATAGATTAGTAAGACATGATTTCCCTTTACCGAAACCATGTTGACTTTTACCCAACAATTTATGTTCTTCTATGTGTCTGACAATTTTATTCTTTACAATTGTTTCGACTAATTTGCCCGGTACTGACGTTAAACTTACTGGTCTGTAATTGCCAGGATCACCTCTAGAGCCCTTTTAAAATATTGGCGTTACATTAGCTATCTTCCAGTCATTGGGTACAGATGCCGATTTAAAGGACAGGTTACAAACCATAGTTAGTAGTTCTGCAATTTCACATTTGAGTTCTTTCAGAACTCTTGGGTGAATGCCATCTGGTCCCGGTGACTCGTTACTGTTAAGTTTATCAATTAATTCCAAAACCTCCTCTAGTGACACCTCAATCTGTGACAATTGCTCAAATTTGTCACCTACAAAAGCCAGCTCAGGTTTGGGAATCTCCCTAACATCCTCAGCCATGAAGGCTGAAGCAAAGAATTCATTTAGTTTCTCTGCAATGACTTCATCGTCTTTAAGTGCTCCTTTTGTATTGCGATTGTCCAGGGACCCCACTGGTTGTTTAGCAGGCTGCCTGCTTCTGATGTAATTAAAAAACAATTTGTTATTACCTTTTGAGTTTTTGGCTAGCTGTTCTTCAAACTCCTTTTTGGCTTTTTTTATTATATTTTTACACTAATTTGGCAGTGTTTATGCTCCTTTCTATTTACCTCACTAGGATTTGACTTCCACTTTTTAAAAGATGATTTTTATCTCCCACTGCTTCTTTTACATAATTGTTAAGCCATGGTGGCTCTCTTTTAGTTCTTCTACTGTGTTTTTTTTGATTTGGGGTATACATTTAAGTTGGGCCTCTATTATGGTGTCTTTGAAAAGTGTCCAAGCAGCTTTCAGGGATTTCACTCTAGTCACTGTACCTTTTAATTTCTGTTTAACTAACCCCCTCATTTTGCATAAGTCCTCTCAGAGCCCTATACACTCAAGAGAAGTTTCAGCCTAGCACTTCCCAAGGCACCAGAGGCAGGCAGGGTTGGATGTGACAATCAAATGTGTCATTGCTTATGCTCTCCAATATTATCATATGTACTCTTGTTGCCACCAGGGCAAATAAGCTTCCTGTTGCCCCATCATCCCAGTCACTTAGAATGAGATATTTTCCAAACCACTTTCGATTTTGGGTGCTCAATCCCCAATAAATTTTAAATGAGAATTTGGCATCCAAGTCCTTTGGGTGACTTTGAAAATCTCAGCCTTAATAGTCAAATGGATCAGATTTTCCTGAACTGGATTGCAGTGACTGTCTTTGGGTATAATTCACACCTACAAATGTCTTTTTTTACCTGGGTAGGTCTACGATGCAGGTCTGCAAAAACCAGAGAAACGTCCATGGAACGATCTTTCTTCAAGGGCAGTGGAAGAGTTAAATAGCAGAAAGGGTCAAAAGTCACAGAAACTTTAGAGCATTTTGGACAGACCAAGGTGGATTTGAAAAGGCCATGAAAAATATCCACGATGATAGAGTCATTTCTTAATCTATGGTTCTCCCAGGCTTCTTTCGCCACCACCTGTAGAAAGGAAATAAAATTAATTCTGACTCATACACTTCACTAGAACTGTAAATACAGAGACATGAGACAAAAGGAACTCAGCATTATTCTGATATTTAAAATATATATATATGCACACCTAAACAAGCTGGAAATACTATTAAGGTTTCCTGAACTCAGCCCCTTTTAACCACTTACTATTCTCCCTCACTAACCAGGCCCCAGGTCTGCAAGTCTTTCCTGCTGCAGAAGGAAATAGCGGACACCTAATTCTACCACTCTGTGTTAGGTCAGGCCTGTATTGCTACAGATTTCCTCAGTGTAGGAGGTGAGGGTTGGAGAGAGAGGGGGCAGTGGAGGGAGCAAGTTGCTTGAAGTCCATGGGCCTGATCCAAAGGCCATTGCAATCAATCGGAGTCTTCCCATTGACATTAAGGACTTTGGATCAGGCCCCATATACTGGATGCAGCTAAAGTTCATCTCTAGGCTGTATGTGGAAAGTATGACATAGAATGGATTTCCTACCCATAGTGGGGTATGCAAGGCTTCATGTAGTCCTTACCCAGGAAAGGTCATTTGCTTTCTGTCCTGACCCAGAAGGGACAGATTGTGGTCTCCAACTGGCAAAAGCTCTCAGCTTATAACTGTTATGCAGAGTTTTCTCTGGAAGAGTAGAAGACTGTGGCCCAGAGCCTGAAGTTAGAAGATGATGATTCATAGACCAGGCAAGAAGGGACCACTATGATCATCTAGTCTGACCTTCCATGTAACAAAAGACCATAGACTTCCCTGAATGAATTCCTCTTTGAATGGGTGCATAATCTTTTAGAAAAAAATCCAATCTTAGTTTAAAATTTTCCAGTGATGGAGAACCTACCTCAATGTTTGGTAAACTGTTCTAATGGTTAATTATTCTCAATATTAAAAACGTATGCCTTATTTCTAATCTGAAATTGTCACACTTCAGCTTCCTGCCATTGGACCTTGTATAAGCCTTGTATTATCAAATGCGTTTCCCATATAGGTACTGTAACCCATTAACTGTCTCTTTGTTAAACTACACAGATTGAGCTCCTCAAGCATCACTATAAAACACATTTTTCTAATCCTTTAATCCAGAGGTTTTCAAACTGTGGTCTGCAGACCACTGGTGGTCCACGAGCGCCATTCAGAAGGTCTGCGGATAGTTCCCTCTAAGGTGTGTGCCTGGGCGGCCACACACAAGAAAATGAAGGGCCACCCACCTAATTAGTGGAGCCGCACAGGACCCTGGAGGAGACGCACATGTAAGGTGAGGTAGTAGCCTTGGGGGGAACAGGAGATAGGTGAGAGGGGGAAGTGGGGTGAGAAGTGGGAGTGGGGGGGAATTTGGGACGTGCAGGGCTGTGGCTGTGGGAGGCGACTTTCCCCAGCTCCAGGGCTGCAGCTGCCAGGGAGAGATGGCCCTCCTTCCCAGCCTCAGCTCTGTGGCCGGGAAGAGACCCCCCCTCCTTCCCAGCCCCAGTTCAGGGACTGCCGCAGCGGGGGAGAGAGGGCACATCCATCGCATTAGAAAGGTAAGACTACTAATATTAAAATATGAGTTGTGTGCTTTTATTTATAGAACAAAAAAAACATCAATTATTAAGGGATTTGTTTTATATAGCGCTTTTATCCAAAGCGCTTTACAATAGTTAGCTAACAGTACAAACAATATTTGGAAAGATCATCAAGTGATCCACTGAGACCCTCAGCAATTTTCAAGTGGTCCATGAAAAAAAAAAAAAAAAGTTTGAGAACCACTGCTTTAATCACTATCATGGCTCTTTCTCTGAATCCTCTCCAATTTATCAACATCCTTCCTGAAATGTGGACACCAGAACTGGACATGATATTTCCAGTAGTAGTTGCAAGAGTGCCAAATACAGAGGTAATATAATCTCTCTACTCCTACTCAATATTCCCATTTATGCATCCAAGAATTGCATTAGTTTTTTTGGCCACAGCTTCGCACTGGGTGCTCACGTTCACAGCTGATTATTTACCATGATTCTTAAGACTTTTTCCAGAGTCACTACTTCCCAAGATAAAGTCCCTCATCCTTTAAATATGGCCTGAATTCTTTGTTTCCTGATGTATGACTTAATATGTGGCTGTATTAAAATACATATTGTTTGTTTTCACCCAGATTACCAAGAAATCCAGAACGCTCTGTATGATTAACCTGTCCTCTTCATCATTTAACAATCTTTGTGTCATCTGCAAACTTGATCAGTGATGATTTTACGTTCTCTTCCAGAGCACTGATAAAAATGTTAAATAGCAGTGAGCCAAGAACCCCTCCCTGCAGGACTCCATTAGAAACACACCCGCTCCATGCTGATTCCCCATTTAGTTACATTTTGAGACCCAGCAATTAGCCAGTTTTTAAAGCATTTCATGCGTGTCATGTTAATTTTGTACTGCTCTAGTTTCTTAATCAAATGTCACGTGGTACCAAGTAAAATGCTTTAAAGAAGTCAAAGTATATTACATTAACACTATTACCTTCATCAATCAAACTTGTAACCTCATTAAAAAAAAAAAGATATCAAGTTAGTTTGACAAGATCTGTTTTCCCTAAACCCATGATGATTGGCAATTATAGCACCCTCTTTTAACTCTTTATTAATTGAGTTCCCATATCAGCTATTACATTATCTTGCCCAGAATCGGCATCAGACTGATGGGTCTATAATTACTTTGCTCATCCGATTTATTCTTTTTAAATATTAACACTTTAGCTTTCTTCCCCAGTATTCCAAGACACATTAAAAATCAACATTAATGGTCCAGAGGGCTCCTCTGTCAGTTCTTTTAAAACTCTTTGTTGCAAGTTATTTGAACCTGCCAATTTAAAAATGTCTAGTTTTAGCAGCTGCTATTAAATATCTTCCTTAGATACTCTTGGAATGGAAAGTATTTTATCAATCATCATTATCCTAGGATTATCAATATACATCTACATCACTTGGCTTTTCCCCCAGTGAAGGGTAAGGGGGCTGAACTAAAGGACATCTGCAGGCAGTAATCATAGAGCTATCTGAACTGGCTTTCTGGAAATTCTTGTCCGAGTTTGAGGATTTCTATTTGCTTGAGCCTGTGGATTGGAAGCTCTTCTTGGTTTGGCACACTTTACCTATGGTACAGTACCATATGCACTATAACTGGGTTGCTGAGATGAGATCAGAGTTATCGCCAACAGCAGGACTCAGGACTATGAAGGAAAGATACGGCATAAATGCTCAGAGCGTCTCCTTAAGTTAGAGAAAAATGGAAGTGCTTGGATAAAAGGCAACGGTAGGCTGGGTCCAAGGCCCCCTCTCCTTAACAGGATTCTAGGCAATTCCTTACATACACAACAAACAGATTTAGGTGCTATCTTGGAGAAAGGGTAAATTATGCCATCATTTGTGTTGCCACAATCACATTCACTGCACATAGAACACATGGAATGACAGTCAAGTGATAAATTGCAGTGATATGGGATAATGCAGTTTACCATTCACGTTTGAGTTTATTAGCTGCATTCTGCGCACTAATCTCCCTCTATTGAGACTTCTAGCATTCCAAGTGTCAGAGCAACGCTGGGGATATAGTAAGATCACTGCAATCCCAAGGTGCAAACAATAACTTAAGCGCATTTACAGCTTTAACTATCATCTTCCTGGCTTTGGACAGCAGTTTAATACAGACTATTCATGCTATTTAAATGTAGCTCAGAGCCTCCAGTTGAGCATAGGGTATAATTTTATACTGTACCGAATCAGGCCTGCCATTGGCATCCTTGAGCTCCAAGTAGGGTTTCTTCTTCACTCGGTTCAGATCCTCGTGCAAGCCATCCAGGAGGAATGCCAAGAGCTCCTGAGAATCTTGCTGCTGGTACCCTGAGAACTGAGGGGCAAAACGGCCGACCTGGGTCTAAAATTAAAACAGAACGGGGACAATCTGGTCAGAGCAGCGTCATGCATGTATCTGTAAAAATGAAATAAAGAAAATCATATCCTGACTTCTGCAGCAAGAAGCTGCTGTAGTTTAGTGCTAACTACAATGAATCTGAAGACAACATAACAAGGATGTCAGTACAGATTTCCTGGCCTATTTTAAAACTTTTCAATCAAGGGCATTTTTAAAGAGCAGGATGGTGGGAATCTGGACTGCCTGATACTAAGCTCTGGGTCAAGAAATACCAACTACCAGCACCTGGAGTGTTGTACAAGTTTCAGTTGTGCTCTTTTAGGAACATAATTGCTACAGTGGATCAGACCAGTGTCCATCTAGTCCAAGATCCTCTTACGTCAGCCAGATACTTCAGAGAAAAATCCAAGAATCCCTGTAGCGGATATTTATGGAACAACATGTCCATAAGGAAAATGTCTCTCTAACTCATCAGTTAGAGCAGCGTTTCCCAAAGGCTGGTGGGTGCCCTTCCTCCCACATGACATGAAAGATTAGCTGGGTTGTGCGGCAAAGACAGGCCTCAATTGTTATCCAGTCTCAGCTTTCACTAAAAATTATTAAGAGTAAAATTTGGGCCCCATTGAAGTCAGTGGCACAACTCCCAATGACTTCAATGGAGCCAGGATTCTACTCTAAGTCTTTAGCTGTTCTAATTTCAAACAAACTTTGAAAACTGACTAGAGTATAACCAAATGTAACAACAAGAAGAACAGGAGTACTTGTGGCACCTTAGAGACTAACAAATTTGTAACAAATGTAACAACAACAGCCTAAACTTGCGCAGACCTTGAAACAATCGCTCTGAGGTGTGAACTGCTCCATTCAATACACTGGGTGCTACCTCATAATGTAAAGGCAATACTTCGATTGTCACCTACTGAAACATAAGAAAGGATCACAGTATGAAGATCCACAATTACTCTGAAAGTGCGATCATTCTGGTACCATGAGCAGGTGATCCCACTGATTTTTTTTCCACAAATTAGAAGGAGCCAAGCATGAGGTGGCCAGCAGGGCATCAGAGCCCCACTTATGGGAAAACAAACCAGAGGGCTCCAGCAGCACTCATGAGGGAGAGAAATTTTCTTAGAGAACAAGTTAATGTTGCCATTTAACAGTGACTGACTCATGGTTGTTACTGCTAAGTAACCCTGAAAAGTGATGTTCTATTTCAAATTTATGATACACCTCTACCCCGATATAACACGAATTCGGATATAACGCGGTAAAGCAGTGCTCCAGGGGGCAGGGCTGTGCACTCCGGTGGATCAAAGCAAGTGCGATATAATGCGGTTTCACCTATAATGCAGTAAGATTTTTTGGCTCCTGAGGTCCCTTCCAACCCGGATATTCTAGGATTCTACCTCTGAGCCTGTTTTCCCTGCCAGCTTGGGACTCCAGAACCCTGCCTTGTTGAGCCAGACACGCTAGCCTGCTGCAACAGAGACCCAGGTCTGGTTCATGCCCCCAACGCTGCAGACTTTAACCAAAAACTGCTCAGCAGGTTTCCTATCTCCAGCACCCAGACACCCAGCTCCCAGTGGGATCCAAACCCCAAATAAATCTGTTTTACTCTGTATAAAGCTTATACAGGGTAAACTCATAAATTGTCCGCCCTCTATAACACTGATAGAGAGATATGCACAGCTGTTTGCTCCCCCAGGTATTAATCACTTACTCTGGGTTAATTAATAAACAAAAGTGATTTTATTAAGTATACAAAGTAGGATTTAAGTGGTTCCAAGTAATAACAGACAGAACAAAGTAAGTTACCAAGCAAAATAAAACAAAACACGCAAAAAACAGTTACTTACCTTCTGTAACTGTTCTTCGAGATGTGTTGTTCACGTCCATTACACATTAGGTGTGCGCGCGCTGCGTGCACGGACATCGGAAACTTTTTCCCTCAGCGGCTCCCGTCGGGCCGGCAGGGTCCCCCCGCCCGCCAGAGCAGCGCCCTATATATAGAGTATATATATCCCTGCGGGCCCGACCCTCCCTCGGTTCCTTCTTGCCGGTGACTCCGACAGAGGGGAAGGAGGGTGGGAAGTGTAATGGACGCGAACAACACATCTCGAAGAACAACAGTTACAGAAGGTAAGTAACCGTTTTTTCTTCTTCGAGTGATTGTTCATGTCCATTACACATTAGGTGATTCACAAGCTTACCATTGGAGGAGGGTAGGAGTCAAGGAACAATTGATTGAAGCACAGCCCTGCCGACCACTGCATCCTCTCTGGTCTGATGATGGATCGCATAGTGGGCTGTGAACGTATACACCGACGACCAGGTGGCCGCTTTACAGATTTCCTGGAGTGGAACCTGCACCAAGAAAGCCACCGAGGACGCTTGGGCCCTAGTTGAGTGAGCCCGGATCTCCGGGGCTGGTACGTTGGCGAGCTCATAGCACGTGCATATGCAAAGCACAATCCATGCTGACAAGCGTTGCGTCGAGATAGGCTGGCCTCTCATTCGCTCCGCAATGGCAATAAACAGTTGAGTCGATTTGCGGAATGGCCTGGTCCGTTCTAGATAAAATGCCAAGGCTCTACGGACATCGAGGGTATGCAGGCTGCGGTGGCTTGGGTCCATATGGGGCTTAGGGAAGAACACCGGTAAACAAATGTCCTGACCCATATTAAAATGCATGACCACCTTTGGAAGGAATTTAGGGTGCAGCCTCAGTTGCACCTTATCCTTATAAAAAACTGTATAAGGAGGTTCTGAAGTGAGGGCTCTCAATTCCGATACCCTCCTAGCCGATGTGATGGCCACGAGAAACGCTACCTTCCATGAGAGGTGCATGAGGGAGCAAGAGGCTAGGGGTTCAAAGGGTGGCCCCATGAGTTTAGTTAGGACCAGGTTAAGATTCCACGCAGGGACTGGCGGGCGCGAGTAGGGAAACACCCTCTCCAGCCCCTTGAGGAATCGGGCTATTGTGGGGTTGGAGAACACCGAAACTCGCAACTCCCCAGGATGGAACGCCGATATGGCAGCCAGATGCACTTTAATTGAGGCGGGGGTGAGCCCTTGATGCTTGAGGTGCAACAAGTAGTCCAGTATTGATGGGACTGAGGCCTGCAGAGGCTGTAGGTGATGAGGCTCACACCAGTGGGAGAACCTCTTCCATTTGGCAAGGTAGGTCGCTCTTGTGGAGGGCTTCCTACTACCAAGGAGAATTTGCTGGACCTGGTGGGAGCATCTGTGCTCCATATCGTTTAGCCAGAGAGATACCACGCCATGAGATGTAGCGACAGTAGGTTCGGGTGGAGTAGGCGACCCCGGTCCTGTGTGATGAGGTCGCGATGGAGGGGGAGGGCAATCGGGGCGGTCACGGACAGTTCCAGCAGGGTCGTGAACCAGTGCTGGCATGGCCACGCCGGGGCGATGAGGATGACTGCCGCCTTGTCCCTGCGGGTCTTGAGGAGGACCTTGTGGATGAGCGGAAATGGAGGGAAGGCATACCTCAGGCTCCCGCCCCACGGAATCGCGAAGGCATCTGCCAACGAGCCCGGGCTGAGGTTCTGGAATGAACAAAACTGAGGGCATTGGCTGTTGCCCTTGGTGGCGAAGAGATCCACCTGGGGAAACCCCCACCTCTGGAAGACTGAATGCAGGACGTCCTGTCTCAACGTCCATTCGTGCATGTGGTAGGACCGGCTGAGGCGGTCTGCTAATCCGTTTTGGACCCCGGGAGATATGTTGCGAGTAGGTGGACCGAATGGGCTATACAGAAGTCCCATAAGAGGAGCGCCTCATGACAGAGGGGAGAGGATCGGGACCCGCCTTGCTTGTTTATGTAGAACATGGCGGTAGTGTTGTCCGTCAGAACTGACACGCTGTGGGCTTCTATGGTAGCGTGAAAGGTCTGGCAGGCGAGGCAAACCGCCCTTAACTCCTTCAGATTGATGTGAAGCAACTTTTCTTCCCTGGACCATAAGCCCTGGGTCCGCAGGTCCCCCAGGTGCGCCTCCCAACCCAGGTCCGATGCATCTCTTACTAACGTCAGAGTGGGCTGCGGGGTAGCGAAGGGGACCCCCTCGCAAACCTGCTGCTGATCGAGCCACCAGTGGAGGAAGTTCGACACACGAGCTGGGATTGTCACTACTAGGTCTAAGGGGTCTCTGTTGGGGCGATACATTTGGGCCAGCCACAACTGTAATGGCCTGAGTCTTAGGCGGGCATGTCTGACTATGTGTGTGCAGGCCACCATGTGCCCCAAGAGTTGCATACAGCATCTGGCCGCGGTCATGGGGAATTGTTGGATGGAGCTTACGACCCTTTGAATGGCCAAGAACCGTGACACTGGAAGACTTGCCCGTGCCGCCACCAAGTCCAGGACTGCCCCTATGAAGTCCAGTCTCTGTGTGGGGATCAGTGAGGACTTGGGCACATTGACCAGTAGACCGAGCTTGTGGAACACCTGTAGTGCCAGCGTCATGTGGGAGCGGACCTCGGCCTCCGACCTGCCCACGAGGAGCCAGTCGTCCAAGTACGGGTATACGTGTATCTTTCTTTTCTGAAGAAAAGCTGCCACCACGGACATGAATTTTGTGAATACTCGCGGGGCCGTTGCCAGGCTGAAGGGCAAGACCATAAATTTAAAATGGCGTTGGTTGATGGTGAAGCGCAGGAACCGCCGGTGGGCCGGGCGGATGGCGATGTGAAAATACGCATCTTTCATATCGAGGGCAGCGTACCAATCCCCTGGATCCAGGGATGGGATAATAGCTCCAAGGGAGACCAAACGGAAACGTGCCTTGACCAAAAATTTGTTTAGTCCGCGTAGGTCCAAAAATGGGACAGAGGCCCCCTTTTGCTTTGGGAATCAGGAAATATCTGGAGTAGAATCCTTTCCCCTTTAGGTCCGGAAGAACCTCTTCCACTGCTCCTACTGTGAGGAGGGTCCGCACCTCCTGCATGAGGAGTTGCTCGTGAGAGGGGTCCCTGAAGAGGGATGGGAGGGAGGGGGCGAGGAGAACTGAAGGGTGTAGCCCGCCTCCACCGTGCGCAGGACCCAGCGGTCCGATGTTATATGTGACCAAGCACGGTAAAAACGGGACAGGCGGTCCCTGAAACATAGAGGGGGATCTGGAATAAAGTTTGGTACGCTGTCCTCGATCGCAGCTTCAAAACCCTGGCTTATTTCCTGGGTGCGGCTTGCCTTGGCCATGATTTTGGCCCTGGTTAGGCGTGTTGTTACGTCTACGCCTGTTATCCCTGCCCCTTCTGCGGTACGGTTCCTGTCGAGGACAAGGGTGGTACTGTCTCTGGGGTGGTTGGGGCTTAAAGGGTTTCCTCTGTGTCACTGGGGTATGCATTCCCAACGACTTGAGGGTTGCTCGAGAGTCTTTGAGGCTATGCAGTCTGGCATCCGTCTGGTCCGAAAACAAGCCTGACCGCTTGAACAGAAGGTCTTGGAGGGTGTTTTGCACCTCTGGGGGAAGGCCAGAAGCCTGTAGCCATGCCGAGCGTCTCATTACTACCCCTGACGCGATTGTCCTAGCAGCTGCGTCTGCGGAGTCAAGGGAGGCCTGTAGGGAGGTTTTGGCTACTGCCTTCCCTTCGTCCACTATAGCCGTAAACTCAGGTTGTGAGCCCTGAGGCGGGGATTCCTTAAACTTGGAGACTGGTGCCCAAGAATTGAAGTTGTGTCTGTTCAGAATCGCTTGTTGGTTAGCGATCCTCAACTGGAGGCCCCCGGATGAGTAGACCTTTCTCCCAAATAAGTCCAAGCATTTTGCCTCCTTGGCTTTGGGGGCTGGGGCTTGCTGGCCATGTCACTCTTGTTCGTTGATCGCAGAGACGACCAGCGAACAGGGTGTTGGGTGAGAGAAGAGGAAGTCAAACCCTTTAGATGGGGCAAAGTATTTCCTCTCCACACCTTTCGCAGTTGGTACACTGGAGGCCGGTGTTTGCCATACTGTTTTGTAGTTGGACTGGACCGTTTTTATGAGCGGGAGCGCGATCCTGGAGGGGCCCTCCGGGCTTAGGATGTCGACCATGGGGTCCTCCTGCTCTACCGTCTCCTCTGCCTGCAACCCCAGATTGAGGGCTACTTGGCGGAGCAGTTCCTGGTGCGCCCGATGGTCAATCAGGGGAGGGCCGGACACTGTTGTGCCCACCACGGCTTTGTCTGGTGAAGAGGAAGAGGTCAGGGCCTTTTGCGCGTCTTCCTCTTCCTGCAACTCCTCACCGACTGGGCGCTTCTCTGGGGCCCGTTCTATGACCTGGGTCTGAGACGGTACCGGGCTCGGTGCCGAGTCCGCCCTTTCTCGCTCCCGTGGTCTGGAGACCGTGGCCTCCTTGCGAGAAGACGGGCGCCACTGCGGAGAGCAAGGGCCGAGATCTTGTGGTCCTGGACGGGGGGGCCTTGCTGCTGACCCCAAGGGGTCCAGAATGGCCATTGTCCTGGCTGGCCCCATTGTGGGTGCCAAGCGGCTTCGTGTTCCCTACTGGCCTGTGCCCTGTGGGCATATCTGCTGGACCAGCCCGAGTCTGCCTCCGAAACCACGGACGGTGATCTGGAAGGCCACGGCGGTGCTGTGGGACGGTGCCGTTCCAGGGTCGGAGAGTAGTGCCTCCGTGACCGACCGGGAGTAGTGTCTTGCCGATCTGGACCTGGATCGGTACCAGTGACCACGGGACCGGGAATGACTACGGGTGGTCGGTCTCGGGGATCGTGTAACTGACACGTCCTGGTGCCTACTCGAATAGGGCTGCTGGGTCGGTGCTGGGCGCTTATTGTGGCCCGACGGCTGTGCGGCTCTCTGCGCGGAGGGAAGCCGGGAGTCCACCGAGGCGGAGCTCGACCGGGACCGGCGCTGTGAATGGTGCTGAGATGGTGACCGTGATAGGTGCACCATTGCCGGCTTGCCTCTGGATGGCAGTCTCAGCGGATTGTCTTTAGTTTGGAGGGGGCCCTCAGTGGACAATTCAATGAGGTCCTTTGCTGCCTCAAATGTGTCCGGAGTGGAGGGCTCTTCCAAAAGCTCCTCCAGCCCTTCCTCCTCACTCGACGCGCCTATCCCGGGGCTCGACGGGCCTTTCGGCGCCGGAGCCACTGTCACCGGGATCTGTGCCGGGGCCGCAATGGCCTTAGGCGCACTCGAGGTCTTCGCGGGCGCTACCCTCTTACGTGGGGAGCGTCTTCGGGCCTTGGGTTGGCCCTTCGATTTTGCCGGCGAAGACGACCGATGCCGGAGGTGTTCCCGCTGATTCAGTGCCGTGGGCTTAGGGTGCCCCGCCGGCGCCGGATCACGGACCGATGCCGGGGCACTCCACACCAAGGTTGGCGGTGCTGTCGAAGTGGAGGGCTGTAACACCATCTCCATGAGCACCTGCTTAAGGCGAAAGTCTCTCTCTTTCTTAGTCCTGGGCTTGAAAGCCTTACAGATCTTGCAGCGCTCTTTTTGGTGTGCTTCCCCCAGGCAACGGAGACACGAGTCATGTGGATCGCTTAATGGCATAGGCTTGCGGCACGTGGCACAAGCCTTGAAGCCTTGGGCGTACGGCATGCCCCGCTGCCCAGGGCCGGTGCCGGGGTTGACCAAACACCTAACACAAAGAAGTTTGAGTATTTCTAAAGAACTGATAACTGCTAAGCTTAACACTAGCTACTAAAGAACTGATAACTGTAAAGATAACACTAACTACTATGCTAAGGGACATTCTCAGACGAGAGACAGAGTTGTTCCAACGCCGCCACGGACGGTAAGAAGGAACTGAGGGAGGCTTGGGCCCTCAGGGATATATATACTCTAGAGCGGGGCGCCGCTCTTGCGGGAGGGGGGACCCTGCCGGCCCGACGGGAGCCGCTGAGGGAAAAAGTTTCTGACGTCCGTGCACGCAGCGCGCGCACACCTAATGTGTAATGGACGTGAACAATCACTCGAAGAAGAAGTCTAAGCCTAATACATTAAGAAACTGAATACAGGTAAATCTCACTCTCGGAGATGTTCCAATAAGCTTCTTTCACAGACTAGTCTGGGCCCAATCCTTTCCCCAGTACAGTCCTTTTTAGTTCCAGCTCAGGTGGTAACTAGGGGATTTCTCATGACTGGCAGCCCCCTTTCCTTTGTTCTCTTCCACCCCCCTTTATAGCTTTGGCACAAGGCAGGAATCCCCACCCCTCTTTCTAAATGGAAAAGCACCAGGTTTAAGATGGATTCCAATATCCTGTGACATGGTCACATGTCCTGTGAGACCTCATTCTTCATTCTTCCAGGGCTGGCCTGCAGGTACCCAGGGAGGTTTGCAAGTAAACAGACCTATTTACAACCAATTGTCCTAGTCAATGGAAGCCATCAAGACTCCAAGCCACCATTAATGGCCTACACTTCGCATAATTACTATAGGACTTCAGAGTAATACTTCATATTTCTAGCTTCAGATACAAGAATGATACATTCATAGAAATAGGTAGAACACACTCAATAGATTATAAACTTTGTAATGTTACCCTACAAGAGACCTTTTGCATAAAGCATATTCCAGTTACATTTTATTCACACTCAAACATATTTCCATAAACATATGGCGTGCAACATCACAATTATTTCACTAGGAGGGTGGTGAAGCACTGGAATGGGTTACCTAGGGAGGTGGTGGAACCTCCATCCTTAGAGGTCTTTTAAGGCTCAGCTTGACAAAGCCCTGGCTGGGATGATTTAGTTGGGGTTGGTCCTGCTTTGAGCAGGGGATGGACTAGATGACCTCCTGAGGTCTCTTCCAACCCTAATCTTCTATGATTCTATAATATCTTTATTGGACCAACTTCTTTTGGTGAAAGAGACAAGCTAGTTAGTTCAATAAAAGATATTGCCTCACCCACCTTGTCTTTCTCACATCCTTCTAATGTTATTTTACCCTTTGTATGAACAAAATGAACGAAACTTTTTGCCTGAGAACATTTTAAAACACCAATCCTACAATATTCTTTCATGGAGACTAGGTCAATCAATGGTTATTAACCAGGATGGGCAGGGATGGTGTCCCTAGCCTCTGTTTGCCAGAAGCTGGGAATTGGCGACAGGGGATGGATCACTTGATGATTACCTGTTCTGTTCATTCCCTCCAAAGCACCTGGCATTGGCCACTGTCGGAAGACAGGATACTGGGCTAGATAGACCTTTGGTCTCACCCAGTATGGCCATTCTTATGTTATGTTCCTATGTCAATATCACACTATGTTCCTTTGTATGTTTTAACATTCTGTTTTTAAATTATAATTTCAACCTGTTCATCTAGCACTGAAGAAAGGTTCACTGGTTTGCAATTCCCAGGATCTTCCTTAAACCCATCAAAAAAAGATAGGTCCAACATTTGATACCCTCCAGCCCTCTTGTATAATGGCTTATTTAAATGAGAATGTCTGTATTTTTTTTCCACAGTTCAGCTATTTTATTGTCAAGTTCAAAATCTTTGGCTATACTATGCTGGGTAGGTTGCTATGTGCTTTAACAATTTGTTTCAGCACCCATCTGAAGAGGAGTGTGCCTCGTTTTTAAAGATCTGGAACAGCACTCAGGCAATTTTTCATTATAGCTTTCGTGACAGCAAAACCTGTGGAAAGACATTATAACTTTCATTCTAACCTTGCTTTCACTACCATCCTCCCTGAAAAAAGTGTCTACTTACTTTGAACATACGTGGTGCCACGTGAGAGTGTCTCCCAGACCACATCTGCTTAATAAGTTCTGCATATGCTTCTGCAATTTCTCCTCTCATCCCCAGAGGATTGTCATGATTTATTTCAGCCTCATATCTATCTTCCAGGAAATACTCAGTCAGAGGTGGAGTGTTACTCAAACACTGAAATAAAAAACCAAACACATTTACAAAGTTCATGTCATTGTATAGGACAGCAAACCCCTATGAGAAGGAAGTAATACAACAGTCCAACTTTCACATCAGTACATATGTGAAATGACAAAACCTTTTTAAAAACTCATGTAAAAGTAGACAGAACAAAGTATTTAAAAGGAACAATGAAAGTTTTGAGTCTACAGCTCTCTCACAATTTAGTAAAACAGAAAGCCTCTTATTGAGATACGTGAGCAATGCAACTCAGATAACAAAGGCCATATAAAAGAGTTCACAATATTCCGACTTCTCTTCCAAGGGTAAAAAGTGTAAATATCAGCACTTTGCTAAGGCTATTGCTGAAGCAGAGATGCCCCTTTAATGCACAGCTTCAGTTCATGTCACTTACAGTTTAATCAAGAGTTACCTTCTGATCTACAATTTCTCCACCTTCTCTCCAATCCCAGCACTAACACATAGCACTCGGCGTGCTTAACAGCAGTAGCGAAGCTAGCCTCTGCTTAGACAGCACACCTAGCTGTTTTCAGGAGTGTCTCTGTTAGAGGTTTTCCAGCCCACTGAACTCCCACAGCCTGAAATGAGGCCTAAAAGATACTATATAATGGTAACTGTCCATAGTGGAATGGAGAATATGAAAAAGGGAGCACTCTATCCCATTTGACACCTTTCTCTCCACTCTATTAGTATCTATAGCAATTTTCCTCATTTGTGCTGAGATTAAAGATGCCTGGGTAGCCGACTTCTGTAACACAGTAGAACATTTCTAACCTACACTAACGGGGGAACTCTTGTGTAAAGCACCAGAGGTGGGAGCAATACAGTGATTCTGTGGTCCCCGCAAACCAACATGGCAGGGAGGGATGTGTACCAACCTCTGGACCTGCACCACTCAATGCATTTTAGGATTACCCATGTACAGTTGGTCTTCCCTCCTCCTAGCTGCTCCTCCTCCCTGGTGCTGAGATACTTTCTGCAACTCAGTGACTCTAGGAATCAGCATCGAGCAGGGTAGGGAGGCTTTTAGGAAGCTACCCTCCTGCTCTCCTCGACTCTGCCATCTGCGTGTGCCTGTGGCATAGAGTCCAGGTACAGAGAGGGAATGCAACTGCTGAACATGGGGAAATCATGTGTACATTTTACCTGACAATGAGATAGAAATATTGTCAAAAAAAGAAAATTGACAGGTTTTAAAAACAAAAAATACCTTATCTTGAATCTCTGCCCGTCACCTCTTACCTGTAGACGCTCTTCAGGACAGCTAATGGTCTTCTAACAGGCCTATAAAGTGCTTAACACACTTTGGGGTGCTATATGAGAGCACTAAACAGGTGTGCAATGAATCCATGGGGATAAGGCGTGAAGTGGATTCTTTTCAGCCCTTTACCTGTAATGCAGAGTTCATGAAGCAGGTGTTTCCCAAGTTACTGAGCCCACAGATGCCGGGCTGTGACTGGAAAGGGGACTCCCTGCAGCTGTAGGAGAAGCCAGAGACTCTGGAAGAAGAAAACAACAATTTTTTATCTAGACCACACCAGTCCACATTTCACCCATCACAGCAATGTTTACGATTTGCATCAAATGCTATTCCTTCTTACTGGTGCTTTTTCATATATTTCTGCTCCTCCATATTTGTTAGTTTTGACATCTCATTTAACTCTGATTACTGGCAGGTCTGATGTTTACTGTAACAATGTATCTTCTATATCTATTCAGGCTGCTTTTCTTTGACCATTTACCTCTACTACTTTATGACAATATTTTCCTCAAGTGTATGGTGCCTACAATCCTTTATCACATTATACGGACATATGCAGGTAAGCTACTACTTTCCAACAGCTGATGAAAGTTTTATGGTCTCTGCCTGGTGAAGTGGCTATCACAGCCAAAGAATGGGACACAAAACATCTGAAAGGGAGAATAGGTGTTGGAGTAAGTGCTAGTTTTCCATGCAGTTGGGCTAGAGTGGGGCAAGCATTACTTTCAACAGCTTGAAAATACAAGTAGCCAGGGGTAACAGGGAGGACACAAAGGTAGTCAGAGGAAGGAGAGGGGGAAAGAAAAGCATTCCTGCTCTTACCCCCTGCCAAGGCTGGAGTTGGTCAGTCCAAAGGAGTTATTGCTATCACCATTTGCAATAGCAGAAGAGATTCCTTTTATTGAGGAATAAGAATTTACTGATGATGCTGAAGTAGCAGTAAAATTTCTGCTAGTTGCAGTGCTTGATCTGGGAGAAAGGAAAGAAGCAGAAACAACGCCACCAGTTTTTGCAAACCCCAGATTCTGGCACTCTGAAATAAAGGTCACTTCTGATTGAGAATTTACAATCTTAACTTGTTAGTATCTGCATTTCCAAAACACTAATCTGGAACACGGGGTCAATCTAGGGCATCACAAGTGAGAGGCAGAAACAATAAACCAATCATGAGCAAGAAGAGGCCCTAGAAGGCATAAGCACAAGGAAGTTTGGACTGAGTGGGTAGAAGGCTCTAAATAGCCTGGTGCACTAAGAAATTAAACCCTCTAAACATAATAAAACCTTTTCCCTAAATAAACAACAGACTACCAAAACAAAAGACCTCTCTTTAAAACCCACTCTAACTATGCAGGTAAGAAACCAACAGCAGACTAAGAAAGGCGGGCGCTACCTAACTTACTGGGCAAAGTACAGCATGTAAAACTACATGTTTCGTGGCTAAATGGTGTATGCAGGAACCCGGCACAAGCAGTTTGTAGCACTCAGAGTCCAGATGCACCATCTTGAGGTCAGAGTGGGTGAACTGTAGGAGTAGAGAGACAGAACTGCTTATATGGGGTAATCAGTAGGCAGACCGTAAGCCAAATTTGGACCGCCAGATGCTTTTGAACGGACAGAGACATCCTTTTATTTACTTGTGATTATCATTATTGTTCTTGTTTTTGTATTATTTTCTCGGAGTCTGGACCTTGACAAAAATTTGGACTTTGACAAAAAATAACTAATTACCAGGGTGGATAAAAATCAACGATTTAAAAAAAAATGATTTTTTTTATTTAAATTGGATTTTTTTTAAAGAAAAAACCTATCTAAAGATAGTTTTAGATAAGACACATTATAGCTCAAAGATATCTCATCATGGAATAGGGATTATAAATTCTAATTCTATAATATGAGACAATATAGTCATGTAATGTTTAAGAAAAGTTTTGTAAATGAGTTCCGATAGTTCATGGATTAGGGACCCAATTTTATGGTGTTCCAGGGGCTTCTGTATAGATTATTTAGGTTAATCTTTCTATCTACCCAATGGGACTCAGGGCTCAGTCTAGACAATACCATCAGAGATGCTTAATTTTGCAGTTCTCAAAATGTGGATTTGTGTCTCAAGAGATAACATGCTTGTTAACAGCAAAAATGGTACGTGTCGCACCTCTTCCTGCAGCTCCCATTGGCTGGGAACTGCGAACCGCGGCCACTGGGAGCTGAGGGGCTCCATGCCTGCAGACGCTCCAAGTAAACAAAACGTCCTGCCAGCGGCTTACCCTGACAGGCCGGGAGCCGAAGTTTGCCAACCCATTTATTGATGTCAATACTGCAGCCTTTTAAGGTTGCAAAGGCTTTGTTTAGTGGACTAGATTGGCTTGAAAGGAATACTAAAAGAGCAGTGCTGCAGATCTGCATGACATTCAGTGACAATAATAATTTGACAGTGATAAAGCAGGTGATATTCCTATATAAAGTCCTACAAAATCTATAACTACAATAATAATAATAATAATCTATTTTCATACTAGTATTTAAAATAAACAGTGAAATCAAAAGAAAAAGGTCTGCTTATCACGCAGCATTCAAACTTAAAATTGTTGAATATGCAGAAGCAAACAATAAATGTGCCGCTGCTCGTGAATTCTGTATCAATGAGAAGTAAGAGAATGGCGAAAAAACAAAACAACACTAAAAGAAATGCCAAGAAGCAAGAAAAAATGTCCAATGAGGTGCGCTTCATTTCCTGAGCTAGAGAAACATCTCAATAATTGGGTTGTTGAATGTCGACAAAATGGGGACATCGTCACTAGAACTGGAATTCATCTGCGTGGTCTGCAAATGTTGAAAGACGACAAATACAAGTCAGTAAAGCCGTCAATGTTTGTCACATCAGTGGGTTGGTGTACTCGCTTCATGAACTGTCATGGTCTCTCTCTTGGTCAGCGAACGAAGATAGTGCAAAAGCTACCGAAAGATCTGGAAGAAAAAAATTGAATCTTTCCAAAGGTTTATTATAAAATATCAAAAGTACTGTGCATTTGAACTGTCACAAATAGGAAATATGGACGAAACACCAATGACATTAGATCTCCCGAGCAACAGAATGGTAACCGGTGTTGGTGAAAAAACAGTTTTAATTAAAACCACTGGCCATGAAAAAAATCCATTTTATAGTGGTTTTATCGTGTTTGGCAAATGGCACGAACAGGAGAGAGC